ACCTGTGACCTCAAAATTCAACTTTAAAGTACTCATCTGAAGCGTCTCGTCGCGTTCTTTCGTTTGCCGCCTCGTGCGTTACGCTGCGTCTATTGGTTCTCGAGTTATCGGCTGGGGGCGTTTAACGCCCCCCTCCCCCAGCAAACGGTGGGTGGCGAAATAACCCAGCAACTGCCGGGTTAAGGACCTGCATCGGCTCTGAGGGCTCAACTTGGCCTTTTCTGGACTCTGGGGTCCAACACCAGCCCAAGCCTGTCTTTTAGGGTGCCACACTGACCCCTGAGGGTCCCATCCTTGCCTCAAGGACCCGCATTAGCCTTTGAGAGCCTAAGTCGGCCTCTGATGGCCTCAAACTGCCATTTTCAGGCCCTGTACTGGTCTCTAAGGGCCTTAAACTGGCCTCTGAGGGCACAAACCGACCTCTAAAGGTCCCACACCGGTTGCTGATGGCCCATTTTCTGCCTCTGAGATCCAAGACTGACCCTTTTGTGCCTCTGAGGGCCCCGTACTGGCTTCTGAAGGATCGATGCCGGTCTCTGAGGACCAATGTCAGTCTTATAAGGGCCTCACACTGATATCTGAGGCCCACATTTGCCTCTGATGGCTCCAAATTGAGGCCCTATTTAGTCCCCAATCAGCCTATAAGGTCTCTGGTGGCCCTATTTTGTTGTCTGGCTGGGGACCCATGGCTTACACCTTTAGGCGTCACGCACTGGCCTCTGAGAGCCCACATCGGCCTCTGGGGTTCCATACGGGCCTTTGAGGCCGCTATGGCCATGGGCCCCTGTAAGCTAGCACCGCCCCCCCACTCCGAGGGTTGGCAAAGTTGCCAAGTTGCCCCCACCCCCAAACGCCAAGTCTGCTACCGCCCCTGCATTCAGATGCATCCATTGTAAAAAATAACTTGCACTGCAGTGATTGGGGGCTTGGGCACTGGCTGCTAGCAAGTTTTTTTTTTCCCGGGAAACCGAAGTGGTAGTTCCTACCGGACGTCTGGCCGGACCTTTATTTTTGCATTTGCTTCTGGGTGGGCAAATCGACGCCACTGGGTGGGCAATTGTGGTGACTGGGTAGGCATTTGCCCACCCAGTGGGTATGTTAGAGGAGGCCCTGCTTACGAGCAGTGTGAGTGAGTAAGGACCTCGGTAACAAAGTGACGAGTGGCTGTGATAGACGATGGTCTGGTTGCGTATGGCGTGTGTGTGTGTCTGTGTGCGTGTCGTGTGTCTGGTATGGATAAAGGTGTGTGATTTCTGACATTTTTTATTCCCATTTAACAATGACGTACGCGTTTTTACTTGCCATGACTTAAGACACGGAATAGCCACGGTGTACTGTGGAGTTGTCTGCCTCCGTCAATAAAATACAATACAATTGGTCTTACGGAAAATGGCTAAATTTCTAAAATTCCTAACTCGTTTTTGTTATTAACCATATATTAAAAATGGCGAGGTGCGCCACTTCCGTAAAAAGGACGCCATTTGTGATATAAAATAATTAATAATAAACGCACTATAAGTGAGTTTTCCTGTCGAATCGAATCACTCTCTCCGATTCCTTTATTTCAAAAACATTCGTGCATTGTTGGTACATCACGTGGGCGACTGAATATGTCACCGCCAAATTGACAGCACTAAATATCATACATCCTCCCCCCCCCTTGACCCAGTCTGGGTCAACGACAGTATTACTGATTGCATCCTAGACACTCATGCGTCCACTACTCCTTCGTGCCCGGGATTTCCACAGGAACGAGCTTCTGTATGGGTCTTTGCATGCTCGTCCGTCTACCGCCGGGTCCGCTGCAGATCACCTGGGCTCCTATTATGCGTCCATCCGTCCCCCTTATCACCTCCTCTATCCTGTCCAGACGCCAGTCATTTCTCTTGGCGCACACTTCTTTGATGATGACTACGGTGCCAATGACTGGCTCTTCATGTGTCGGCTTCCTGGTTTGCTTGTGCTGACTTAGCTGCAGCAGATACTCAGTTTTCCATCTTTGCCAAAAATGTTCGAGCAGTTTCTGGACGTGCCTGTACCGTTTCGTGTGTTCTTCTTCCGTTTTGAGCTCAGTGTGACTGCTGTTGAAGAACAAGTGATTTGGAGTGAGAAGCCTCCTGCCAGTCATGAGGTGTGCTGGAGTGAGGGGTTCTTTCAGCTCCTCACTGGAGACAAACGACAGCGGTCTGGAATTCATGATGCCTTCGACCTCCACTACTACAGTCTCCAACTCCTCATAGGTTAGAAGTGCTCTTCCGATAATCTTCCTCAGGCATCGTTTAGCAGATCTGACGAGTCTCTCGTAAAATCCACCCCACCATGGCGCACGTTCTAGTATAAACTTCCATTCGATCTTGTCCGTTGACAGTCGGTCTTGAAGTTCGTCATGCTGTCCTTGAATGAACTTGGCTGCTGCCTTGAATGTCTGAGCGTTGTCCGATATAAGGACCCTTGGCGTTCCTTTCCGAGCTTTCATTCGAGACAGGCTACGGAGAAAGGCATCTGTAGAGAGATCCGGACATATCTCCAGATGCACCGCCCTCGTAGAGGTGCAGGTGAACAATACAAGGTACACCTTGCCACTGTGCTCATTACTGCTTCGGATGAACAGCGGCCCAGCAAAGTCGACTCCGGTGCAGGAGAATGGCTGAGTCTTAGTGACCCTGAACTCTGGTAGTGCGGGTGGCCGAGGTGCGCTGTAGGTTTTCCCTCGTGACGTCTGCAGATTCTGCACTGGTGAAGAAGTTTTCTCATCTTCTGTCTCCCTCTGGCGATCCAAAATCGCCCTCTAAACTCCGTTAGGGTCTCCTTCACTCCGTTGTGCCCCACTCGTTCATGACAGTCCAAGATGATGAGATCAGTCAGTTCGTGATCTCGAGGAAGGAGTATCGGATGTTTGGCCTCATATGGGACTTCTGACTTGTCTAAGCGTCCGCCACAGCGCATGAGACCATTCTCCGCTTCGAACACATCCAACTGGTTCTGCAGCTTGGCCGCCTGAGGCCCGTTCCTTATGGATCGTTGCGCCGACTTGATCCAGAGACGCTCAGCTCCTCCAACCTAGGAATATTGCAGCGGTCCTGTGATGCGTTCTTGACGGCGCACCTTCTTGCGCAGATTAGAAATTAATCTCAATACAAGCGCTGTCGTTCTCAGAAGGTTTCTGAGTTTGCTGAAGTTTCCTGGCTGCAGTACATTAAGGTCCAAGGTGCTATCGTCAGACACCAGAAGAGAGTGGGCTCCATTTCGCTTTGTTTTCTTGAGCTCTTTGGCGACCTCTTTTTCAACTGACTCATCAGTTGTTCTGTTTTCAGTTTCCGGCCACGTGTCTCGAATCATCCTTCAGCCAGCTTGGTCCCGACCATCACTTGGTCAGGCCCTTCAGATCACTTCCTGAAACACCCCTGGTTGGAATGTCAGCGGGATTCTCCTGGCCAGGGCAGTAACTCCAGCAGGACGCCGGAGTGAGTCGTCTGATCTCAGACGTTCTGTTTTCCACAAACTATTGGAATTTCTTCTCCTCTCGGGTGATCCAATGGAACACTATCATTGAGTCGGTCCAACAGAAACAGCTTGCTATCTCGTAAACCGAGCTGAGAGCAAGTTTCACCCTGACCACAAGTCGAGCGGTCAGCAGGGCAGCCATCAGTTCAAGTCGTGGTATAGTTTGAGTCTTGATGGGTGCCACTCGTGTCTTTGAGGCTACTAAGCTCGCTGCCGTATTAGTACCCTCGATTGTAATATATACCGCAGCTGCATAACCCGCCTTGGATGCGTCTCCGAACCCGTGTAATGACACCTTCATACGCTGGGTACCGGCAGTCTGCTCATCAAAATAGCACCTTGGAACCGCAATTGGTACCATCTCGACCGTCAGTTGTCTCAAGGCACTCCACTTCTTCTGCTGATCTGCGGTCAGCTCGTCGTCCCAGTTAAGTCCGCTAGTATGCAGTTCTTTTAGAAAGACCTTGAGGGGCAGAACCACAGGCGACAACAGTCCCATCGGATCGTAAATACCAGCTATGGTTCTGGCTATCTGTATTTTAGTCAGCCTGACTTCAGACTCCTCTTCAAGTCTGAGTGCAACCAGCAGTTCATCCTTCACGAGATCCCATCCTACGCCCAAAACCCTTGAATTCTCAGTGTTCTTCGGACCCGTCATCTCCGTCAGCTCAAAGGAGGCATACGTCTAGAGGTGGCAAAAGATGAAAATTTTGGGAACCAGACTCGAACCAGACCAAGCTGTACATTTATGGAACCAGTCGGACCCGGTCTTAGTAAGAATCGGAACCAGTTGGACCCGCTCCCCAAAGTCAATTAATACAAACTTCTTGTATGTATCATTAGTTGCATCATGTAAAACAGCTTATTTCCCACTAGGAATACTCATGAGCTACTGTGTGCAAAGAAACATTCACTTCATTCACTTCATATTTTGCAATAATGTGTAGTGTGCAAAATGTATAGTTTATGGTAGGACCCGGTTGGACCCGTCAGAAAATTTCCAGGAACCGGTCTGGACCCATATGGGTCCAGACTGGTTCTTTGGACTTTCTCAAGAACTTTCTCATACCGCAGCTGAACTTTCTCAAGTTGAAGCTTGCTTCGTACAAGCAGTTCCGGATGCTCAAAAATGTCTCAGCCGCCCCCTCCACATCTCCTGCTCCTGGCACCAAATCATCAACATATGACGACTGGATGAACCTTTCGGCTACATCAGGATCACTCTCGAGCTTCATGTGATGCTGAAGAATGGCACTGAGAATGAATGGGCTGCACTTCACCCCAAATGGCACTCTGGTGAAGCGAAGTCTCATCAATCTTGGCTTGTCCGACTTGATGTCATCTATCCAGAGAAATCTCAATGCATCTCGCTCCTCTGGCTGGATCCCGATCATGTGGAACGCCTTCTCGATGTCAGCGATGTATGCCACCCGGTATGATCGAAATCTAAGCAGCACATCCAAGAGATCAGCTGTGAGGCTTGGTCCAGCACTGAGTCAGCTGTTCAGGGACGGTCCGTGGCTGCTTACTGAGGCGTCATACACAACCCGAACCTTGGTTGTGGTTTTCTCCCTTTTCACAATCGGATGGTGAGGCAGGTAATGAATGCGATCCATTCCGGCCGTGCCCTCGGCTGTGCCGTCAACTTCTTCAGTGATGCCTGCGTGAATCTGCTCCCTTATGATCCTATCATACTCTTCCGCTGTTTCTGGATCTGGCTTCAGCCGATGTAGGAGAGAGCTGAGCCGTTTCTTGGCCAGCTGGAAGTTGTCCGTTAGTGGTTCGTGATAGTCCTTCCACGGGAGTTTTACTTCATAACGGCCGTCCCGGAATCTGGCCGACTCTAGCAGACGATCACGCACCGATTCATCTTCTTCGCAAATCTCCAATGACTCTAAGTTCCAGAACTTGTTGAGGGCATCCTGTTTGTCTTCCTGTACCGTTTTCGTTTCCACTCTGAGCGTGTGAGAAGTGGCCAGGTTCATCTGAGCTTCTAGAAATCCACAATCCGTGCTACCAGAGAGAACCCAGCCAACACGCGTGTTGCACGCCACCGGTCCTTGTCCGTCTTTTCCTCGTCGAACTTTGCCCGTCATCAAGAGTCACATTTGATCTGACCCGACCAATATATCCACGCTCAACTCTCAACTCTGTGCTGCCGTCGGACGACTCAGCCAAAAACAGGCCGCAAAGATGCTCGTTCTGCTCCTTCAATCCCATGACTGGTTGGCTTTGCAGGGGCCTGCATATGATTGGAATCTGGTAAGCGGTGAGGTAGCTGGTGCTGCCGTCCAGGGCCAATATCGGAACTTGTACTACGCCAGCGTCTTGAACCATTTCTTCGTCTGAGCCAAATGTCCTCACCAATAGTCGCTCTTGACGTATCGGCCGCAATCCGAGCCGTTCGCTGAGTTCCGTGCTTATATACGAGCGTTGTGAGCCACTATCTAGAATGAGTCTGGCCTTTTCTATGTGGCTTTGGCTAGCGACAGTCACTTCGGCTGTTTGCAACAAAGTGATCTGTGAACTGTCGCTGGATTCGGGGCTGTTGCTGACTTGCAGAGCCGGTGTCGGTGCAGTGTCTACTTCGCCGCCCGTAGTGGCCTGCTGTCCAGCGGATCTGTTGCACAAACAGACGCCTTCAACAGCCTTCCAACAAACAAAACAAAACAAAACAAAACAAAACAAACAGCCTTCCACCACAGCTCGGACATGGCCTGCCTGTGCATTTTCTGGCCACGTGCCCTCTTTTCAGGCAGACAAAACTCCGACCGAATCGTCTCAAGAGGTCTTTTCTTCTCTCGAGTAATCACACTGCACCAAGCTGACTCGTGGCCGGTCCGATTGCAGAAGCAGCACTGGCTGTCCCGTCCCGCCGAACAAGTCAGCGTGGCTGCCGTTCTAGCTGGTGCTCTGTTGTTTGTCCTACTCGCACGACCGGTTTTCATCACTCGCGACTCTGTGCGCTCCCTCAGTGCGACTTCCTTCCTGAGTTCCCGAACAATACTCTTCAACTCCCATCCGTCTCCAACATTCCGACTTATCAATAAACTCCACGACTGTGGTAGCTTTCCCATGACAACTGGCGCCAGCATAGTGCCATATGTATCCGGTTCCACTCCTAAGCACCCAAGACTCCGACTGTGAGACTCAAGCTCATCACAGAAACGACGCATAGCGACTATGTTGTCTTCTTTTTCAGACACATCCGGTAGTTTCATCAAGTCTTCTAGATGTGCGGATATTATCCTGTTTTTGTCTCCGAACCGTTCCTTCAGTATGCTGACGGCTTCTGCATAATTGTCATTTGTCACACGCAGTCCGCGAATAGCGGCTGCCGGTGAGCCGGAGAGAGAAGCTGTAAGGTAGTGGAAGCGCTCCACGTCAGAAAGCGTTGAGTTTTGATGCACAGTAGAGTCAAATGTGTCCCAGAACGTACACCAATCCGTATACTTCCCCGAGTATGTTGGCAGATCAATTTTGGGAAGCTTCGCTCTGTTCTTATGAGCCGAGTCTGGATCCTGAGAATGCTCAGTCGCTGATCTGCTGGCGTAAAGTCTCTTAGCCAGGCTGACTGCGGATATTTTCGCGACTTTAGCTCGTCCCACATATCCAATTCTTGTTCCAGGTCATCTTCGCTGTCCATACCAGACTGCAGCTGTCTCTGGGCTTCTTGAGTTTCTTTATACAGGCATTCAACATCTTCTGGCCTTTCCTGAATCAATTCTGGCATGCCATTTTCTTGCACTAACAACTCCAGTTGTGTTAGCGATCTTGTCAGAGATCCCCGTCTATCATTTCTCTGTCTGATCAGCTGCGGTAACGATCTTGCAGGCATGTTGCTGCTATCAATGAGAGTTCCTATAACTAATCAAAACTTGTGTTCCCAATCAAAACTAAATGCAGCTTGATGAAATTTTACGTTAAAAGCAAGAGCAGCCTTAGATCTACATTGTTTGTGACACGCTGCGATATGGCAAGCTTAACATTCCAAAATCCAGTCAGATCCATTGACAGTTGCAATAGGTACTATCCGAGTTCTGTCCTGTCTTTCTATCCAAATTCTATCATCGATCTGTCCGGTGATACTATCCAAATTCTATCCGTAATCTATTCAAACATATTTAAAGCATTTTCAAACACTATCCGGCCCGGAGGACCATATAAAATAATTAATAATAAACGCACTATAAGTGAGTTTTCCTGTCGAATCGAATCACTCTCTCCGATTCCTTTATTTCAAAAACACTCGTGCATTGTTGGTACAGTCTGTCACCTCTTAAGGTTCCACACCGGCGGCCCTGGGTCGGCTCTATACACCCGTCATTCTGAGGGGCTGAGGGCCCCACCAATTTTCGTCGATTTCTGGCGCTGCCCGGGTATTTGTCCCAAAAGCCTCCTCCTCCTGGATCTGCCAATGGGGGTCAGGTGTCCAACCATTTCTGTTTTTTTTTTTAGAAAAAAAACTCGTGTCAGGGCTATGACGAAAAATAAGTGGCCTAAATCCGATGAGAAAACGGGATTTGGGGGTACCCTAGGTTTGGCTCCGTGACCTGGTATGCCCCCCTCCCCGTGCTGAAGCCCTGGATCCGCCAGTGGTCAAGCATTGTTATCTAGTGTGGGGAATTCCTGCTGAATCCATAGACATTCAGTTTGTGAAGACCTGGTCCTATCATCCTATTCCAGGTTCGTAGGGGCTTCTTGGCCAGACTGGAAAACATTCATACACTACGCCGGACGCCCGTGAGACCCTCTTGCGCCGAAATTTGGCGCAACCGATCTTGCGCTGAAATTTTTGTGTGATTTGCGCCAAAAATTAGGTGCCTATTTGTGCGAAAATTAAGGCCTTTTTATATAAAGCACATGTGCAGTGTGCACATCTACCGATCAAGGCTATATGAACCAGACAGAGTGTTCCGGGGGCGGGGCCTTGTATGCTCTCCCATGTTTGAGCGTCCGAATGAGTTTTTCATTTCCACAGAAACCCAATGCCTCAATAGTGTTAGCGCACTCTTGCTTCATGCCGTGAAACAAAGCTGGAGCCGTGAGCTCCGGGGCCACAAATTTGTGCCGATGCATCGCCGTTATTAACATCGCGATGTTAATAACGGCGGAGCAGCATGTGCTCCGGCACATCACCCTCTTCTCGGCACACTCTGCGCCGCGGGGAACCGCTTGTCTAGGCACTGCTGGCACGCCGCGGAGTTGAGACAGCCGATTCGGTGCCTTATTGGAGCGAGCGGCTCCAGTGGCCCGCCCTTATCTGGTGCACCGAAACGACATCCTCTCGGTCCGCTCCGGGGATAGGGAGCGGCGACGTGCTCCCGAGGAGTGGCTTGAATAGTGATTCTGAGCAGTTGTCGCGCCATTCATGCGTGGCCACACAGTGAACCGCCCTGGGTCAGCGAGTGGGCGTTTGAGGGCAAGGCGGCCGCTTGTTTTGTCAGGTCGTCCGCGCTCTCAATCCCCTCGATAGCAGTATTGCTTAAGGTGACCATCCCACCTTAACCCTCGCCCGCACATGGTGGTTGCCACCCCCTTCCCCCCAGGTAGTCTTTCTGCTCTGCACTCAACATTTTTAGAGCTAGAAGGCTGATTTTTCGTATAGCTGCTCCTCTATCCTTTCTTGATATCCACTGAAAATTTTAAGTTTCTGTGATTTTCGGTTTCGGAGACATGACCTTGTTTTTCAGGTTGTCATGACCCAAATGGCCAATTCTCAACATCTTGCGTTTGCCATGGGCCTTGTGAGCTTTTGACACCTTGATTTCGGCCTTTTTTGCCAGTCTTACCTCCCACCTATCATCGAACATGTTGTTCGACGATGTACAGGTGTCAAGGTCAGGGTCAAGGTCAACCTAGGTCATATAAGATAATTGCGTTTTAGGCAAGCTGAATTTACTTTTTGTGAAGTTTTTTGACTGCATTTTTGGTAAAAACTTCTCAGATCATGATTTTATGTAATATGGACACAAAAACAATCGGTGCACACATCAGTATACACACAGACACACACAGACATACAAACACATATAATAGACCTTTACCTAACTTGACCTGAAATGACCTCAGCAGCAAAAATCTGGTCGGGTAGTGTGACAAAGAGGTTCTAGCTGGCTTGGCAGCAGAAAACAGCATCGTCATCGGTATATGATAAGCAGCGCACTTGATATCCAACGGTGACCCAAAACAGCAACATTTTCTTAGTTTGACCTGACCTGGAAGTTCAATGACTGACCTGAGAAGGTAAAACTGGGTATCATTGGATTTGTCTCTTCCCAAAGAATCTTTTTGGTCTTCACCGCTAAGCTCTATCTCCAACAGGAACGAAATGGCGCGGGGGGGGTGGCAACCACCCCCTCCCCCCATGTGCGTTCTAGGATGGGAAAATGGCATGTGCGGGCGAGGGTTAACATAAGTCTTGAGTTGAGATAGCCGAATTGGTGGCCATGGCCTGCAAATACCGGTTTGGGCACTCACAACATCGAAAAATGCTTGAATTCGGAGATATGGAATTTCAAACTTGCAGTTTTCGGATTCTAAGGGGCTAATGCATTGGGATGCCCCCTTAGAATTTGTGACGTCAGCGGTGATCTAACGATTTTAAAACCTTACACTAGCATCTTTGTGAAGCAGTGGTGGTATATGCTATTTGCGCGCAACATCTGCCGCGAACGCCGCACTTCCAAAATTAAGTCGCTAGAAACAGTGGAGATCCCAAAAAACAAAAGTAAAAGTCTATATCTTGAAAACCGGTGAATATTTTTCGGTGAAATTTGGTAGATACTCGTTTTTAATATAATAAGAGATATTAACCTTACTCTCATATTAGCCAACAGATCTTTTGATATATATTTTGATTGAAAGGTCTTTTGGCTAATATGAGAGTAAGGTTAATATCTCTTATTATATTCATAATGTCTCTCAAAACTGTGCTAAAAACCATTCAAGATATTCGTTTTTGGTCTTTCTGAACCGTGTGTACTGAACTTGTGTGTAGCAGGTGCATGCCCCAGGTGCGCCCAGTTCGGTGGGAGGGAGTCCATGCCTGGCTACTAGGAATGCACGCCTTTGTCCATAATTTGCACGCCTGGCC